TGATTTCTGGGAGTTGAACGACTTCTTAACCAGACTTTCAAAGGCCCCTTTTCTCTCCAGCCCCAGCCTTCCTGCCTTCCTGCCTTCCTTCCTTCCTTCAGAGGCGGTGTCAGTGGGTACTTCCACTTTCTGAGTCTTCCCAGAGTTCTGCGGGGAAACCTGACTTCCTCTTTGTTGGCTCCTTCCGCGGGATTTACTTTCCAGTGTTATTTGCTCTGTAGAGTTAGTCAGGGCTCAACTAGTCATTATCTATCTTCCACTATCTGTTCACCTTTCTCACCCCTGCTCTTGTTCTCCTAACCTGTCCTTGGGTGTTTGTACCCTTTACAATTCACTATCACTTTAAGTGGTTTCAGAAGGGCGCGGAGAAGAACAGGTGTGTTCAATACTCCATGCTTAACCCAAACTCCAGTTTATGTGTAGGTGTTTCACTTTGGCATTAATATTTACCTCTAGGCTGCAACGGTTACTATTCCAGTAACATGTTTACTGGTCACTGTGTTTATTCTTATCAAATTTGTAAGTCTCAATAAAAACAAAAACTGCTGTTGGAAAAGACAGTGGCTTGTATCCTTAAAATATACTCCTCTCCCCCTCCTCCTCCTCCATCATCATCATCATCATCATCATCATCATCATCATCAATACTTACTGAGTTCTAGCCATGTTCTAGGCAATGAGATGAAAACATTTAACTTTCATCATTTAAGCTCCACAACAGTTCCTGAGTAGGTACTAGCCCAACACTCATTTTACAGGGTTCAAAGACTAAGCCTCGGAGAGATTGAGACAGTTGCATGAGACGATAAACACAGCAAACAGAAGAAAAGCATTTAAAGTTCAGTGGTTGGTCTCTAGGCCGGTTCTGCAGGCATGAGGAAGAAGCTCTGATGCAGGAAGTCTCCCAAATCACCCAACCGAAAGTCATTAGCTCTGTTGTATCCACACTTACGGTGACCTCATTGGTTCGGCTGTGCGGTGACCTCATTGGTTCGGCTGTGCAAATGATTGTATCAAATGACATGATACAGAAAGGAGGCCCACTGTGGACTCAGCTCCCGTCTCGAGTCAGGGAGCAAATTCAAGCTACAAAACCAATGGATGGTGAACTCAAGCTACATTTTCCAACACCAAGACTTGCCGGGAACCTTTCTTCTTCCGGACACAGATAGCAGAGACCTTACTGATCTTAATCCCCACCTTGGCAGAGGTAAAGGGAGTACACCATCGCCTGGGATGGAGCCTGGCACACAATAGACGTGCAGTAAACATGAGGTTCCTTTCACTGGGGATAAACAGCGATAACCAGGGGTGCACCCGGAGAGCGTGGGAGCATGATGAATGAGGCCTGGAAACTGGCCTGGGCTCCGCTTTCCAAGCTGTGTGCTTCCGCTATGCACCGCATTTGCATGGAGAGCGGGGTGCCATTTTCAAATTCACACACACACGCAGCGCGGGCTAGCAGTGGCCCGGCCTGGGTGGAAATTCTGGACATATGCGTCCCTGAGATTGATGACAGGTTAAGCGCACTTTCAATAAATAGACTTCGAACGCATGGAGAAGTAAAGACTTCCACATCCCGCTGCTGGCGATGCTCCACCCACCAACCAGCCCCGCTGCACAGCGGGTGCCCTGCCTCACAGCCCCCGGGACAGGGGTGGTGCAAAGGTCACAGACACCCACAGCTTGAAGGACACTCAGGTATATCTTTTCCAGGGTGGTTTTATTATTCCCAAGTACCTACTCCAACTTCGTCATTTTATAGAAGGCTTTTCAGGCTTGGTTTAATAAATAATGATGATTGTTTTGAGATTGTTGGCTCTTCATGCAGTTCCGGGAACTAGTTATTTTGAGCCTTGTCAATATTTTTCCATACGTCTATGTTTCTATCAGTTGGCATTATCTTATAGTATTTCTTGATGTTGGGTTGCTGTTGAGGTTTAGGGTAGGGCGGTTCTTCATCCGGGGAACAGTCTACAGCACTGAGGGGTATCAGTACTCTTGGTCCCTCACAAAAGTGCCAGGAGCGCCCCAAGCCCATGAGGCAGCACAGGTGCTCCCCAGAGGTCCACACGCCTCCTCGGGCCATGGTGTACCTGAATTCATCACAACTGTCAGACAGGCGAGATTTGAAGAGAGCCAGGCCCTGACATCACAAGACACCCCAAGGACAGCAGACACCTGGAGGGGCTGCTCAGCCACCTTCCGCCCGTGCAGCCCCTGTTGCTCTGAGAGATGCTTCCAGTATCTCAGAGGGAGCACAGTGGGGAGGATGAAGGAAGCCCTTTTTGGAATTTGGTTTCACTTCCTCGCTGTTCTGTTTATTTTCATGGGTGACATAGCTTCAGATCTGCCCATCCGTCTGACAGTTGTCACACTTACCTAGCACAGTGCGGGCTGGGGGCATTGTTTTGATTCATCCTTACAGCAGGTTTGCTAAACCTAAACAAATTCACATTCTCACTTTTTTTATGAAGAAACCTAGGCTTTGAAAAGAGGTATACTTGCTCAGAGGCAACGTTCAGATTCCGGGGTCTGTGTTCTGGCAATAGAATTATCTCCTGCTACAAACCTATTCTTAAGGCTTGAGGGTGGGAATGGACATGCAGGGGTGGGGGTCCAAAAAAGGTTCCTTTTGAAAGCATACACAGCTCTTGTCCCCCAGGACACACCAGGTGGCCCCATCAGGGTTCAACCTGGCACCACCTGCTGGAACTCACGTCAGATCAGTGGGGGTGGGAGTGGGGGTAGGAGGCTTTGCAGGCAGGTCCCCCCGCCCCGCCCCCACTGGGAAAGGAGTCAACTGGCTGCTGATTCATTTATAAACCAGGATACTGTGTGGGCACCCACGGGCCAGCCAGAGACCCCGGCTGCTCTCTGGAGACCTGGACTGCTGGTCCTCCCCAGCTTTGCTGGGGGTGGTGGGGGACGGGAAACACAAACCAACAAAACCAAACACAAACAACAGCAAAACACCAAGACCAGATATCCTGGGGGAGGAAGGAAGAGAGGAAACTGGCTGGGTTTCTAAGGAACCTGATAAGGCGGCTCGGGGCTCTGGCACCGGGAAGGAGCAGACGTCGTGATCCGTGAACACCGTTCATTCACCACACATCCGTGTCACAGTTACGCAGCATCTGCCCCCTGCCAGAATCTATTCTAGGCGAAGTAACAGCAACAGCACGAGAGACACCCCTGCCCTCACAGAGCTTACATTCTAAGGAGAGAGACACTGGCAGTAGTAAGCGCATGAAGAAGGAAAACCACGTATCATCCGGTGGGGAGAGGTGCTTCAGGCAAAAGGCGGCAGGGCCAGGCGCAGAGAACTTGTGGGGCGTTTCGATTTTAAACAGTGACCCAAGAAAGCCTCGGGGAGTGGCAATTGATCTAGTAACACCTTGCTGGGCGCGGTTTCAAGCGTCTTGACAATTTTCTCAATGCAACAACCGCTCGAAAACAGCTACGATTAGTCCCATTTTACAGACAAAGAGGCTGAGGTTAAGAGATGCAGTGATTTCTGGACCTCGCACCGCTGGCGCGGGCGAACTGAGGTCTAAACCCTGGCTGCCGTAAGTCCAGCGGCGGCACGCTTGGGGGTTGCTGCGGATAGTCTACGAAGGGGGCTTGGGAAAAGGAAGGTCGGCGGGGTCACATCAGGCTCTGTGGGTACCCACGAAGCGAATGTGGTGTCACCCATGGGCAAGTCCGGGCAGTCCTGAATGGGGTGGGGGGGGGGGAGCGGCGGGCGGCTGCGGAAACTGTTGATCTGCCCTGAGCTGAATCCCGAGTCTCCCAGGCTGGGGCTGGGGAGTTCCGTCACCCAGCTGCAGAGACGGTGGGCCGGTGGGGGAGGGAGCTCACTGCTAGGGTTGTCCCGGGACAGTTCCGGTGGGAACCTCACCCCGCCGCCACCCCCTGGCCAGCTGCTCCAGTCAATAAGGCGAGGACCTCGCGGGTGCTCGTCGCCTTCCCCGTGAGGTTTGCCTGGGAGTTCCTACGAGGGCTGAGGAGGGCCACAGAGGCGAACTCCGGGAGGGCGGACTCGAAGTACTGCTGTCTGTCCTCTGGGGAGACGCGCAGTTCGGCAGGCCAGCGCGCAAAGGGCGCGTGGAGCTGCAGGGAGCGCCCCAGTCACAGGATAGAGCGGTGGAGGGGCGCCCGGCAGCCCTTGGGGGTCGGCAAGACCAGGGGAGGGACAGGGCCCGTGCGCTGCAAATGAGGGAGAACTACGACGTGTTGGGGTAGAAAGTAAAAGAGAGGCGAACGCGCACTCCAGGAAGGCCTGGAGAGAGCGGGCGCGCCGAAAAGACGGGCTGGAGAGAGCGCAGGAGGAGGAAGAAGCGAGAAGGGACCGTTGCCCCGGAGAGGACGTGCTAAAGCGTGGGGCCTGGGGTCCAGGGGAGGGCGTCGGGAGTCTCTGGGGGGCCATCGCCCGGTGGCCGAGGCGGCGCCCCGCGCGCGCAGCAAAGGGAGGAATGGCTAGATGCTAAAAGGGCCAGCCGATCCAGCACGCTGGAGAGCGGGTGCGCCAGGCGCAGCGGGAGAGCGCGGAGCGCCTGTGCGCGCACGGGACAAGGCGTGCAGTTGCCTACCCAGGTGGCGCGCTTTGAGGTTCTAGAGAAGTGGGGGTTGAGAAGACCCGGACGGGAGCCCAGAAATGTCGGGGGAGGCGGGGAGAGAGACCGCAAACTCTACGGCAGAATTTCCCCGGATTGGAGAGAGAGTGCACCCTGGGCGCAGGAAGGAAGCGGAAAGCCAGCCCTGTGGGAGGCTTGGTCAGGGCTGAGCACCGAAGGAGCGCAGCTGAGAGGAGGTGCGGCGGATTGAGGGGCGAGTTCCGAGAGCCCGAGAAAGGTGAGGAAGAGAGTCCGAGGACGAAAAGCCCGGGGCACGCAGGGCCCTGAGGAAGGGAACCGTGGAGAGCAAACTGCGTCCCCAGGAGGGCCGCAGTGCCACCCATGTCCCCGCTCCCTGGCCGCTCCCGATTTTAACCCACTCACCATGATGGAGAAGACGAAAGCCACGATGTTGATGGGGTACGCGGGGCAAAAACACGAGACAATGGTGAGCCACAGGTAGTTCTTGGGCCTGGGCACGTCCTCCTCGGTCTTGTCATCTTCAGTGTTGGCCTCGGGACTGCTGTCCAAAGCCGTCTTGAAGTCCGAGCTGGGGGCGTACTGAGACATGGGCGAGGCCGGCGGCGGCGCAGGGAGGGCAGAGGAGCCACGGTCCGCCGGCGCGGTCTGGACCTCTGGCCGCCGGCTGCTGGCGAGCCTCTGAAAAGCCAGTGGAGCGAGGCTCGGGAGACGTGACCTCACCCCTCCTGCGTCCTGCGCTGGCACCCGCCCGGGCTCAGGGACCTGGGCCAAGAGCCTGGGCACAAGAGGGAGGGAGGAAGCGAGAGCAAGGAAGTGAGGGGAGGCGGCGGGGAGGAGAAGGAGACTGCCAGCCCGAGACACAGAGAAAAGGCGCACTTGGACGACACCCAGAGACCCTCTGACGGACGCCCAGATTCACTCAGAGAAGTCCGGGATAGAAAGGAGTTTCAGGGAAGCAGCAAGCAAAGCCCCTTTACGTTGCAAACTGGCCGAAGAAGACCAGGCCATTTTTTCAAGCAGCTGAATTTGAATACATGTAGACAGGGTGAGAGATGACCCAACCCTATCCAGCTGGCTATAGAGTTACTACTTCCGCTAGACCTCAGCAATTTATTGCCTGGTTCCCGAGGTATGTAAGTTGCCTCCGCTGCCCCCCCCCCCTCCGTCCCTTCTACTCAGACCTGGAACATCGAGCCCTAGTCATTTCCTCCACAGGTGGGCAGGGAGCAAGGTGCAGGGCCTTGGGCCCAGCCCTCTCCACACTGCCCAGGGACCCCTGGAGACTGGAGCCCGGAGTCAGCCAGTAGGCACGGCCCTCCACTTTTTCCCAAGCGTGGAAACAAGGAATCCTTCTCATCTCCCCTTTCCCAGCTGTAGGGTCCCTGGAGAGAGAAGCAGACAGACCTGGCAGGTGTAGACAACCCAGGTGAATGCTTGCAACAGGGAGAAGAGAAAGGGACCCGCTTTGGGAACGAGGGTGAAGACAGCAATTTCATCAGTGGCTAAGCAATTCACGAAAGGGGGTAGGCACCAGAGCCGAGACTTGGAACCCAGACAGAGCTGGGAAATGGTCACATCTGGGTTGAACCTCAGGAAATTCCCTTCACCTTGCTGAGCTCCAATTTCCTCATCCAAAAAAGTGGAATAATAAGAACCTCTGCCTCATCAGGACCCCGTGAGACTCTGAGATTGCATCTCAAATCAAGTATATCTGAGTGCCCAGTAAATGCTACCTATTACTACTAGAAGACTTTCCCCAAAACATAGTCGTTATACAGTACCTCAGATGCAATGCCCATTGTTGCAAATATTTCACCAGAAATTCAGATGTGCTGAGTGGGCAGCACCAGAAAGAAGTGCAAATCATTGTATTACGTACAGTCTCAAACACAGTTGCTCACAGCATCGTACTCGAAGGCATGAGTCATCTGCTTGGCTTTCTCAGAAGGTGAGCTGAGTGTCTGGGGTTCCTCGCTTGTCTCAGGGGCCTCATTCGTGTCGTCACCCGCCTCCCTCACTGGGCTGCAACTCCCTGAGACAGGGGACAGTCATCTTGCTCATCTTTCTGTCACCACCTGGCACATTGCCTGGTAGGAAGCATGTGCTTAGTGTAGCCTGCTGGGCGATCATGCAAAAAATGAAATAGTACCTTCTCCGCCACGCCTTCTCCCTCATGGTTGATTAAGCAAGTGGGAATAAACCAAACAATTAGATTCATCCACTGAGTCCTCAACTGAGCCTTTGCGTTGCCTGTTCCCTCTGCCTGGAATGCTGTTCCTCTAGACCATCACGCGGCTTCTTATTTTTCAGCTGTCAGCTCAGGTGTCACTTCCTCGGAGAGAGACCTCTTTAGGTTTATCTAGTGTGGGCCCCTAAATGATTCTATATTTCCCCAGCTTTTTTTCCCCAGCATGTGTCACTGTTGAACTCTGTTTACTTGTTCACTGAATGTTCTGTTTTTAAAGTTTTTTTTAGTTTTTTTTAAGACTTTTTAATTAATATTTTATTTATTTATTTTTAGAGAGGGAAGGGAGGGAGAAAGAGAGAGAGAGAGAAACATCAATGTGCGGTTGCTGAGGGCCGTGGCCTGCAACCCAGGCATGTGCCCTGACTGGGAATCGAACCTGCGATGCTTTGGTTCCCAGCCCGTGCTCAATCCACTGAGCTACGCCAGCCAGGGCCCAAATGTTCATTTTTGTGAGCTCTGTAACCTCATCAGAGACGTATCTCTGGCACTCAGAACTGTCCTGGCACAAGGTAGGAATGCAAGAAATACTCCTTGAATGAATGGGTCAGAATTACCTGGGAGTATGGAAAGAATGATTCCCAGGTCTTGACCAAGACCTACCTGAATTAAAATTTCCCGGGGTGGCACCCCAGAAATTTGTCTTTTTTAATGTCTGAGAAATCAGTATTTTTTAGAACACTCCCCAATGTTTGTGATGCAACGGAACAATTTCTCAAATCCCATTATCGCCTCTAGTTCTCAGGACATAGTCCTGGGTCTTTAGTTTGGAGATCCTCTTCGTCCCCTCAAATTCAGCCTGTCAAAGGGGAAGGTGTCTCTCCCGAGGACCTGCTTCTTAGTCCTTGGCGAATGGGTCCCGCCTGGTCCTCTGACCTTCCCTCCTGTCAGTCCTCTCTGCTCTCATCGGCTCCTGTTCTGTGGGCCTCTTCCCCCTTCCTCAACGGCGCCCGCCCGGCTCCCTGCCCCGCAAGGCCTTTCACCCACTGTTTCTTCGTCCTGTAAGGCTTCCTTCTCACCTTTTGGGGCCCATGACCTCATGTACGGGACCCTGAGAGAGTCCTTCCCTGAGCATCCTATCTAAAGTAGCCTCCTACCCTCCTGTTCTCCACCCCATTTCCCTGTTTATTTCTTTCATCATAGTTATCACAACCAGAAACTGTCTCATTTATTCATTTGTTTACTCTTCATTGTCTGTCTCCCCTACCAGAAGGTAAACTCACAAGAGTGGAGATTTATTTTTTTCTGTTTGGTCTCACTGTGGTGTCCTTTGTGCAGCAAGAGTTCCTGGCCCGTAGTAGGTGCTCAGTAGATACTTGCTGAATTAATAAACTGCATTGAGTCATCCAGCTTTGGAAGTTGGAGGCATTATTCTTCTTGTCCCTTGATCCTCCACCTGAAGGACCCACCCAACCCTGTGGACTGCACCTCCAACACGACTCCTCACTCCAGCCCCTCTCTGCCTCCCCCACGGCCAGTGCTCCAACTGCAGACCTACCCACAGAGGGAAGTTTCAGTGGGCGCTGTCAGAGCCGCATTTGTGATCTGAGGTTGGTGAGTTTGGTGGGCTGAGCCCCAGGTTTGGGCCCCACATGGGATGGTGCTCTTTTAAGATCATTAGCTCTGCTGTCCACTTCCACCCGCTTGTGTCATCCAGGGGAGACACAACAGAATGGGTGCTTGGCTCAGCGGAACCCATGTCCTCTGCCAGGAGAACAGCTGGTCAACTCTGGTCCAATGCCTGGGAACCACCAAACATTTATTGATTATCTAGTGTGTGCATTTCTTAGATGCATCATCTCCCTTAGTTTCCACAACACTATAGGTGAGGAAGGTGGAGATGTTTCCTTTCTACAAATGAAGAAGCCTAGTGTCAGACAGGTAAAGGATCTTCTGTAACACCTGTTACGCAAGGAAGTGGAGGTGTCAGGATTCGAACCAGGTCTAATCTACTTGTTCAGGCGGCAGGTCCAGGCAAGAGTGTTAGGTGGACTGCTCTGAAGTTCGCTGGAGTTACTGTGTTCTGCTTGGGGAAGATGGATTAATAGCTTGTTGACTGGGCTAAAAAGTAGCAGTGAAATTGCAATCACTTGAAATATTTACAATGAAATGGAAAAGAAAGTGCCCGCACCAGAAACTGTGAGGTATATGGTGCGGATTCTTGAGGGATGCATTAGGCCCCTGAGTGGGGGCTTTCAGCTCTAATTTCCTGAGCTTCGCTAATTTCCTCCTGAGAGGTCAGTTTATGGCTCTCGAAAGAACCCTGCTGGCTGATTGCTTTCGATGTGGCAGTACCTTCCCTCTTTAAAACCAGAGGAGAAACTGACGCCCAAAGAGCCGGCGCAGGAGAGAGAACACACTTCCCCCAGTTTCCTGGATCCTGATGAAGCATCCGGCCTTTTTCGACCTTTGAAAAAAGTTTTATTTCCAAATGTAAAAGGAACATATACTCACTCATTTATGCTTTGAAGAAAAGCATAAGGAAGAAGAGACGTTACCAGTGGTAATCACTATAAAAATAAGGGCTTGTTTTCTTCTAGTTCTTCCTACATATGTATGCTTTTCTTCAACACCATGAGGTCACATGCAGTTTCTTTCCCTGCTTTTCTCACTCAGTGTTATATGACGGTTGATATATTTTTTTTTGCATATTTTCATATTCTCAATAATTTGCCATTGATTAGATGGATTATTATTTATACAACCATTCTCTGATTATTAGGTATTTAGGTTTAGTGCGGTTTTTTTTGTTGTTATGAAAAATGCTGTCATGGACATTTTTTGCACCCACTTATCTGAATCTGTGATCATTTCTTTGTGACTCGTGATTTTACAGGGTTCATTATTTTGAAATGGCAGAGAAAACTCAAATTGGCGTTGGCGGGTTGAGAATTTGTATTATGAGATATGTACCAAAGGTAAAATTCAGACCGAGGCCAAGGAGACAGTCCCAGAATCAATGGCCTACAGAAACGAGATGAAATGAAATGGGTTCAAAGAACAACTTTCCAGGGCCACGTGGATGCCCAAATCTGTAATCTCCAATGGGGTGATGTTGAATCTACAAGCATGTGCTGGAAATCTATGCTGTCTGATCTTAGCTGTGTCTAGGATTCCAAAACAGAAGGAGGGCGGGAGGCTGGGAGGGGAGACAGTGGCCCTGAGATTCTGCTGATCCGTGAAAATGCAAGAGAAAGATTCCAGATCTTTAGGAACTGTGAGAGGTCGAGTACATTTGCTGCCAAGGTTTGCATTAGTCTCAAGTAGCAGCCTTTAGCAGCCATAAAGGAACTGCTGTGGTCTCGGGGGTTTGCTACAAAGAACAGTATCTTTTTGGCTAATATTATTAGCAAATCATTTACCTTTCCAGTTCCCAACAACTTTGATCTTCCCACAAGGTGGGTGTGAGGGGTGGGGGGATC